TTCTACGAGTCACTTACCCGACGGTGCCGTGTGGCCCAAACGTGATTTTCAGTTCGTATTGAACCATGGAATTAGCAGCGCTCGTGCTCATACAGAGTGACTTCAACCAACACGATTGCGAGAGCTCCGATCGATTATTTGTGACCGTTGTGGAATTTCGGCAAGATTATAGGTGGCCGGACGTGCATTTTTGTGTACGCGCAATATGGTTTTTGCTCTATGCAATCACGTGTTGCTACTCGGTATTCACCTCGGAAAAAGTCAACGCGTGAACTCAACCACTCGGGGGCAGACGTTGAAAACCAGTTAACCTTGGGAACTAGTGCAAGAAGACGGCTGAACAGCTTAACGCGCCCAAAGAACAACAACAACGGTGACTGGAAAACAGTAAACGACTAGTTTTACAGTGCGTTATGAATCTCGGTTCGCATTTGGTGAAAACTCGACAGATGTGATGTTTTGCGCCTAATATCGTGTCGACGACGTGCGATCAAAACAGTTTTAGTCAAAAGTCGTTGGAACGTGACGGAGAGCTCCTGGGAGACCGATGCGTTTTTAATTAAAACGACGGAATCCACTATATGCAAAACGGCCTCCGTAGTTTGTTTTAGCACCAACATAAACGGTTCGAGGTGCCGTGTTGTTGCGAGGGTTGTGGGTGTGTGGAGGGGGGGGGGTGAAGCATGGGTGTGCGAACGTACAAACAACACATACGCCCGCGCGCATTCATACAATGGTTTGGAATCCGAAGGGTGCGCAGCGGAGAAAACATTACAACCCTTTCCGCGGCCCTCTACTCCTTCCGGAGAAATGAGAACGCGCGTACTGGTCCGCAATTTATCACGAACACGCGAATTCATACATACATATATATAAATATGCGATGCGGTTACCCCGGCGCCGCCGTCCCCGTAACTATATAATAAATACGGGTTGCGCACCACCATAATACCGCGCACTGCATTAGACTAATGGCGACGCGCGCACGGGAGGACGGTCGAATCGGTCGCGGAAAGGGACGGGCCCCGCAGGAAACCGGAGGTGGCGACGACGACTGTACGACGGCGACCTAGCCGAAGTCGCGCGCGCGAGACTGCCATCGCCGTTATTTACACATATATATATATACACACACGGTCGAAAAGGGAGTAGTCCTGGAACTTGTGGTGTACACATATTACATATATATATGTACGTGTGTACGGAGCACTGCTGCTGTTGCTGCTGCTGCTGCTGCTGCTGCTGCTGATGTTCCTATTGTTGTGTCGTCGCCAAAGTTCTTATCTGTTTCGGCGGTCGGAGGGCGCAGGAGATCGGGGCGCCGCCGCCGCCACCGCCGAAAGGGTTAATGCTGTTTAATACGAATACAGGAATTAGCGTGCCATTACTGCGTGTCCGACCGAATACGTCCGCCGCGGCGCGGGACTTTGCGCAGGAAGGGGCATCGACGATGTGTGTCGTCGTCTGGCGCGGATAACTTTGCGAGAGGAAAACTTTAATTGAAATGTATACACACACACACACACACACACATATATATATTATATCGCACGTTCGAGTGCGTGCACGCACACCCGCGCGCAGGGACGTATCGTAGAACCGTCCTGTCCTACCCGAGTAGAAGTGTACGCGGCACCTCGGGTGATGTAGACGTTGGTGGTCGCCACGAGGGTTTTACCATCGGCGCGAACGGAAGAAAGGGCTCCGCAGCCGGTTGAACTGTACGTCATCCCTCGTTCGAACGAACGGACGATAAAAATGCTATTTTAATCCGTGCCGTAACGTGCGCACGTGGCCAAGTGCATGGGCTCGACTGTTGCGAGAAACATTGTTTCGATCGTTTCTACACCTACTACGGGGTAATGTGTCCACCGCCGGCACCTTCGTCGAAATCCTTACGTACGAGGTGGCCTACGCGGGTTCACGTACTTGCAACGCGATACGGCGAACAATACGTGTAATAATAACGATAATAATCACCGTTTGGATTTCTCGCGAACGGTGTGCGTACGAGGTCGTTATCTGTCCCTTTGCCGCCGCACCCCGGGATGCACACGAGCGGATAATAATGTGTGCACACGTATTGTAACGGCAACGCGATAAAGCCGAAGTTAACGTGTATATAATGCTTCCGTCGAGTGGCCTCGCCGCACTTACTCGTGTCGCGCACCCGTACACATGTATGTATTTTCGTACGCAGCTCCCGGGATAGGCGAACGGGTCGTTTCTATTTCTTTCCCGAAAAGTTTTCGCCATCGCGCGGGGACTCGTTTTAACGAACGAGCACGTCGCCGTAATGCACCTGCCGACGGGGAACGCCGTGCACGCGCCGTAACTGTATTACACCCCGTTAACTGCGTAACATTATTATATGTCAACGGCTATTGACGTTAACCGTGTTAACGAAAATTCTCGCGAACGGTCCACGCGAAAACATCGTGATTAGTGATAGGGCTCGGATTTTAAAGCGTAATATCAAAACGAATAAAAATCACGAAATCGTCTTAAAAAAAGCAACAGATAAACATCACCAAAATTTAAAATGAATTAGTTATAAAACTAAACGACGGGAATTGATTAAATTAAAAAAATAATCAACCACCATGTACTTTGTAAGATTTGCAGTAGTGAAACTGTCTCTGTTGTCTGACGGAATGTTTTTGTACGCGGAAAACGAATGCTTTACATCCACCGGAGTTATCGGTATGCACTTTGTGCATCAGGTTTCGTTTGAATCTAACCTATGATAATTTGCTTCGTTTGATTAAACGCCACCGGTATATTGTTAATGTCGAGTAATGGTTTCCAGCCTTTGTTTTTCAAAAGAATACGATTTATTTTGCCCGAAATCGCAGTTGCGTTATCTCCATTAGCTTCTTTTCTGCGTCTAAGACAATATTTATATATTTTGTCAATGATCTGTTTGCAAATCGATAATCTATACGTTTAATAAATGTAACAATCAAGCCGAAAACAATAATAAACCTATACAACCATTTAGTCCGTATTCCGGGTTTTCAAATTTCTTAATAGTTAAGTACCATTTTTTTTTTTTTTTTTTTTTTTATTATTATTATTATAGTATGATAGACATAAAAATTCTACAGCTAGAATAAGCAAAAATAAATTGGTTTATTTGGAAACAGAAAGTCGTGAAACGAATTTATATTTAAAAATTAGAGTTCTATGTCATACATAAAATAATAAGCATTTGCTTTAAAATCCGAGCCCTAGTGATTGCGCACTCAGGAAATTGCAGGTCGGAAAACGTTGATCCGAATCGCACGAGCACTGGGCTGCTCGTGCACGCGTTACATGCGATGTAACGTTTCCTCGGATTTAATTTTTAACTTTGAAAGCGGTACGTGTACCACTTTGTACACATTTTGTCGATATCGTTAAAATCGAGTTGGAAAAAACGACGCGTGAAGTTAAAGTTTACCCTGTTCTACACACAAACGTTGGCCTTTAGAATCGCACGCGTGGGCACATACACGTGCGCAAAAGTGTTCGAACACATCATTGTTTGTTTACAGTGTTTAAGGAGAAGTTTTTTGCACAGAAATACGCCTCGGGTCGCACAACAGCCGGCGAGGTCGTAACTCTTTATCTCTGGCCCAAATGGGATTCGGCTAGAAGCGCGCTATCGCACCTTTTATTTTTTCAGTAGCAAATATTCTCCAAATCACAATGTCCCTTCGGAAACAGAAACACCAAAGTTATACGTATGGTGTAATAGGTTATTTATCTATGACACGCGTACAAAAATATATGTGCAAACACAGTTATGGGCATGGTTCGCCACAGGGACGGATCCGCAGTTAGAGAACTGTGGACCAGGCTATTTCAAGGGGCCGCTTATCAGCGTTGAAACCGGTTTATAAATGTAACAGAAAAACACACAATACCATCATGTGTATTTTTTTAAATTTTATTCATAATCGTCATTGAAAACATTAACAATAATTTTCTTTTATGGAGTCTTACGTGGGGTCCGGCATAGAGATGTTTTACTGTAATATACAATTAAACCAGTGGCATCAACTGGGGGGGGGGGGTGGCGTAGTAACTAGTGTCCTAGTCTAGTGTTAACTTTAACCTATATTCGGCACACTTAAAAAATATTAGGGGTCTTCAAGAGGCAAATTTCGTCAAAAAATATTAGCTGTGGGTCAGCTGTTCTCTTGAACCCCCCTAGATCCGCCCCTGGTTCGCACTCGACTTTTACCGGGAAAATAATTCTCTCAATATTTCGAGCCTTTTTTTTTTTTTTTTTTAATCATGAACTATATTATATCCGCGGTATCGGTCCCGCACAAAAATACATTACATTGTAGCTACTATCAACAATCGAGGGCAGAGGTGGAACTGGGAATTATTACGCCCGGGAAAAATGTTAATATTACGCCCTATTATAGATCAATAATAAAATACTGTTATCGAGAATTTTTTTCAAATAATTAATACACAATTATACTTATTGAGTTAAAACGGTAAATAAATTCGTATTTTTTGGTCAAACTGCATATGCTCACTTCGTCCAAAACCATCAACCAGCCACCAGGGCCGTATTTACGCCTAGGCCCGCGAGGCCCGGGCCTAGGGCGGCAAATTTTTTGGGGCGGCAAATTTTGTAAGAAATAAAAAAAGAATCATATGAATGCATGAAATATTTATATGATTTTTTTTTAGATATCTGTATGTAAAATATACGGGCGCATGAAACTGAAATGTCACTAACCCGAAATCAATTTTCTCGTAATGTGAGCTATAAAGATAAGATACCTACCTAGGTATATAATAATATAAGTTGTTCCTAAAAGTAATTACGATAAAAATATAATATATATAGAAATTGGCTAAAGATATTGTGTATCCACATCGCACACGACCACAATTCATTTCAGTTTATTGTTCGTCATTGTCGGGAGTGCATATTACAACATAATATATTTAATAAATAATAATTAATAATTTACAGTATTTAGCATTTTTTCACTATGAGTGACGGTCGTAAACGTTTTAGTGGTTCAGAGTATAAAAAGCGAGCCAAAGATAAAGAATATAAAGAGAGTAAAGTTCTAAATAAAATACCTAAACTAAGTACTTTCTTTAAACCTGCTACACCGTCTTCTTTGAATGCACCTGATAATGGTCAACAACATCAACATGATTTAGAAGAGATTGAAACGAGTAAGTGCGAATCGGATTTGGTCATTAATAATTTAACAACTTCTACTTTAAATATGGATCCGGCTACATTTTATATTGATTATAATGATCCGGCTAAATGGATTATTAATGATGTAACTCGCGATTATGTGGCAAAACACGGAATAAATCAAAATTTAAATGATGATTTTACATGTTCTAAACGTGAGTATCCTGACAAAAATAGATTTTTAAATAAATCATTATTTGTTAGAACACGTATAAATGGTGAAGTACAGTCACGACCATGGTTAGTGTTTTCGAAATCTACTGGTACAGTGTTTTGTGCACCATGTCGACTCTTTGGAAGTGCACATTTATCAACATTAGTAACTATTGGTTTTAATGATTGGAAAAATGCTGTACGAAAATTAAACGATCACGAAAATTCTATTCCTCATAAAACTTCAACAGTTGCATTAATCGAAAGGGGGAAAACTGCAGGTAAAATAAACCAAGAAATTGTTTTGCAATTAGAACAAGAAACCAATTATTGGCGAAATATTTTAAAAAGAATAGTTGCTACTGTACGTTCTTTAGTAATTCGAGGGTTACCATTGAGAGGCAGTGAAGAAAAATTTGGGTCGTATCATAGCGGTAATTTCATTATGACATTAGAGCTTTTAGCAGAATTTGATCCCTTTCTATCAGAGCATATTCGCCATTACGGTAAAATCGGTAGTGGTAATACATCGTATCTATCTTCACAGACATACGGAGAGTTTATACAAATTATGGCAGAAAAAATTACAAAACAAATAGTTGAAGAAATCAAAGTTTCAAAGTATTTTTCGATAAGCGTTGATTCGACGCCCGACGTATCCCATGTTGATCAGTTGTCTTTTATCATAAGATACATTTCAAAAGATGGTACTCCTATAGAACGATTTTTAAAGTTTATTGCCAATACTGGGCATAAATCTGAACAACTTGCTGATGCAGTTTTTGATACACTTAATCAATATAATTTGGATATTAAAAATTGCCGCGGGCAGTCATACGATAATGCCAGTAACATGGCTGGTAAATACACTGGCCTTCAAGCCAGAATTAAAGAAGTTATTCCGTTGGCCATTTATGTCCCTTGCTCAGCACATTCCCTAAATCTTGTGGGGATATCTGCCGTGGATTGCTGTGAAAAATCGACAACATATTTTAGATATCTACAAGAATTATATAACTTTTTCACAGCATCTACCCATCGTTGGGAAATTTTACTATTTTATTTAAAAAAGTCTAAGTGTGTAAAAAGTTTGTCTCAAACCCGATGGTCAGCAAGATACGAAGCGGGTAAATCTTTATGTACTTCTTGGAGTGAAATTAAAAACGCTTTACAGGCTATTATTGACGATGCCAATGAAAAACCTGTAACAAAATTTGACGCTTCAGTTCTTTTGAAACCTTTTAATACTATAGAAATGTGCTTTATGACTGTTTTTTGGAATGAAGTATTAGAAAGGTTTCATATAGTTAATAAAAAACTTCAATCAGTTAATATTGAGTTAGGAATGATTGTTGAATTATATGGATCCTTAGAGCAGTACATATCTAGAATTAGAAATAATTTTGAAGAATATGAAGGAAAAGCTATACAAATATGCGGTGAAATGCAGTACAAAAAAGACAAGCGGAGAACTGTTAAGAGAAAACGTCAATTCGACGAAACAATGAATGAAGTGATCACAGAAACAGGCAAGGAAGATTTCAGAATAAATGTATTCTTCGTTATATTGGATAAATTGAATGCTGAACTCGTAAGGCGAGGCAGTTCATATAAAAATTTATGTGTCAAGTTTGATTTTCTTACAAATATTTGTAGTTTTGACGAGGAAATAATTTCTGAAAAAACTAGGGCACTAATAGAACAATATCCTAATGATATTGAAGAATCATTTACAAATGAATGTCTTCATTTGCGTGATCATCTTTTTTTTAAATCTGATAAAAAAAGAAACGCCCAAGAACTTTGTAAGATGTTGTATACAAATGATTTAATAGATATTTATCCGAACGTCACAACAGCGTTACGTATGTATTTGTGCACGTTTGCAACAAATTGTACAGCAGAGCGGTCGTTTTCAGCATTGAAAAGAGTAAAATCGCATCTTCGTTCAACTTTGGAGTCAGATAGATTAAACGCGACATCAATACTACACATAGAATCTGAGATGCTTCGAAGTATAAATTATGATGATATAATCGACGATTTCGCGTCTAAAAAAGTTCGTCGTAAAATGTTATAGATAACATAGGTTATGATTAGGTATAAGTTTAACTATTAAGTATTACTAGGTATAAGATTAAAGATTATTAAGATTATTTTAAGATTAAGATTCAAAATGTATACTGATAATGCCTAATTAGGATTTATAATTATTATTTGTTTTGTTTATAATGACTATTGACCTAATTTCTTTAAAATGAAATAAATTTATTTGTAATAATTACAATTTTTTTTTCTTGGGGTAGAGGCGGCATATTTAAAAGGGCCTAGGGCGGCACTTGTTCTAAATCCGGCCCTGGCAGCCACTATTTCTTAGTGAACCTCAACACTAAATCCGAAATTGGAAGTATTCACTACGGATTCGAGAAGTGTGTACCTATTAAATACTAATAAATAAGACTACTATCAAGATGTTTTTCAGGAAGCCAGTTTAAGCAAGACAGCTGATAAGGACTGAAGTATATCTATTAAGTTTTAAATTACGTACCCCACATTAAAATAAATAATTTGTTAACAGTTTTCAAATTCATAACAGACTCGAGTATATTTTTAGTTTAAAAAATAATAACAGATTGGTAGTTTCTCAATTATAATGTGCAATTCGATTAATAAAAAAAAAAAAAAAAAAACTAATACCAAAAATTATTACTGAAATTGTACGAAAAATTATAATCATATGGAATTGGGGTAGAGGGGCGTATCTGGATCATATCATGGTACGTTAAAAAATGAGTAGTACGAGTTTTTATGAAAAATAGGGGCCGCTATCAACCACTCGCAGTGCTGAGATTTGATCTACAAATCGTTTTAATCACTTATCTACTTGAAGTGCGTACACAGGCTATACTTACCACATTGTTTCACAATGTTACACCAGACCGTTTGGTTTACATACATAATGAATGCCGACTGTCGTTTGAAAAATAATTTGAAAAAACACATAATTTTATTTCATCTGGCGAAATATTAAAACAAAAAATAAGGGAAATCATATGTATTTATAGCTCAAATTTAGATTTTGTGTTGACCCCGAACAAATTAATATTCGTATAAAAAATTTGACGTTTTATTGATGCTACTTCATTGCGTTTTCATCGTTTAATTTAAACGTATTATAAAATATTGAAACAAAAGTTTTATTCCATTTCCTCTTTTGCCTGTATTTGTTTTGTCCTATATTTCGTATCGTTCGATACATGTATTTGCTTTTATAACAACACTGCTGCCGTTAAACGTTAGAAATATCGTATTCTTGGGTTTTGTTTTTTGTTTGCGTTATTAGCCTTCTTCTGAAGAGTTTATCTTCATTTGTTTCCTCGCGTAAGAAAATCATTTTATCACGATTGAACTATTTTTCTGTCCCGCGTATGCGCTTATATAACTAGTTTTTGATTTTTTTTTTTCATTATGATTTAAATACTCACTTATCATACATATTTTTTAAGTATCAAGGACTATAATTGTGAACAATATTAATGATTATACTATACAGATTAAATACGCATTAAGCATATCTTATCTTATGTAGTTAAAATATAAAAGCACTTCTCGGTATAGTTATTTTTCTTCCAACTTTCGTTTGAACAATACCTTCGTGCGTTATTTTTTTATTTTTCTTAATCCTAATAACGACCTGTACAACGCTTAATATAATATTCTGTCATAACATTCGATCTATCATTTAATTGTAACCAATGATCAACGGTTAACAAATAAGATATTAAACGAGCAGGTATGCAAAGCAAATACGCGCCCAATGATAGTTACAAGAACCGGTGAAAATCAATATATTTCTGCGGGATGTGTGGCTTTAGGAATAAGGAGTTGGCTACCTGCAGGAATGGCACTCCGTCGAGACATATGTGCGAGGATGTTAACGCACGAAAATCCGTGTACGCGTGACGTTGTAGCTCGGTATTCGTCAATTGCGCTGAATTTGGGACATTACATGTACAGTATACATCTATTGCGCAGCTATAACAACTATACAGTACAAGTAAAAATCATAATGGCTGAAAACAAAAATTAAAATCAAACTTATCATTCTACATACTTGGCATTTACACTTATAGTATATTATACACTAATCCTACAAATTTTGAAAAGTTCTTAGGTCTAATATCAAATTTAGTTGCGTCTATTTTACTAGTTATTTTTTTTTGTCATAAATTTAGAGTTTGGTCTGTTTGTGATAACTAAGATAACAAGTATTATGATTTTTGCGTTACATTAATTTTAAAACTTCATATAAAACAAAAATGTTTGGATGGGGTGAATAAAAATATTTCTCAAACGCTGAGTGAAATGCCTCACAGGTTATTATTGTTCTTTCGCCTGATATGTTACACGATGACCAAAGATACGGGAAAAAGTTGAATTTTCATAAATATATGTATCAATGAGGTAATCGCAAAATGTATTAATTCGAATATCGATCGGCGCTATAGATGTATACTTTTTTTACACCCCATAATTTTTCTTTCTTTACCTGCGATTTTCTTCACAATTGATATAAAGCCGTATAGCTACGTATCTTTCAGGCGCGGATACAAGGGGGGTGATATGGAAGCGATGGTCCCTCCAAACGTCACGAGACGAAAAAATAAATGTATTATTTTAATATGTCAAGGAATGATAAAGCTACCATAAAAAAACGGCTTTTTTTTTAAATTTTTACGTACATTTTAAACAATAATAAATAATTGTATTGTTCTGCGGATCGTTCTATTTATAATTTGGTAATTTTTTATCGCAATGACTGCCGACGTGACGGATACCGGTCGTCGTCTCATATCGCATTTATATGCTTACCGTTGCAAATATTTTAATTCGGTATCATTCATTTTGTTCTGTGCAACTATACAGTCCACACGAGGTATGAACTACTGTCACCGACGGCAATACTTCTTTAAAAATGGTACGTAATTTGTTTTAAATAAGTTTTAGTTTTTTAATTTTTAACTGGACTTGTTCTTTTGTGATCTGCACTTAGATACCGTAATTTTTAATTTAATTTCATATTTAATAATTTTTTATTGTTCTGAAATAGTTTTCTTTTCCATCTGCATACCTATTTTTTTTCTTCAAATTTTTAGTTGAAAGTTTATTCATTAATAGTGATAAAAAATATTTATGACAAATGGTAACACTTATAATCTTATAGAATTATTGAATTTTATATATTATATTACGTCCACAATATAAAATGCCCCGTCCCCCTTAATAATTAATCTGCGCCAGGTATCTGTGGACCGTGTTTCCACACGTGTGAATTGAAATTTTATTTTTCATCAATTTCAATCAAACTTGATGTACAGTTTTAAACTGTCAATGCAAAACGAATAAATGAAATGTTTTCCACGAGTACATGGTATTGCGAAAAGCGGAGATATTCGTTTGAGAAACACTTACTTGCGCACGTTCAATTGTTGAGTGTATTTTACCGTACCACGGGAGTGTTTAAAGTTATCGTGAAAACATCAGGTTTTTATATCGTTTTAACGTTCATCGTATCCGAATAATCGAAAACCAGACGGCTTTACGAATACCTACGTACTTTTCATAAGCGTGACTCGCAACTGTGAATACGCTGTACTGCGGTGTAAGAGCCACGTTCGCCGGGGGCGGGGGGGGGCAATTGCCCCGGGGTCGGAAAATGTTGAGGATCGACATAAAATAAAATAAATATATTTATAATTTTTCTTGTACGATTGTATAACTATAATACATATTATCCCGTTCATAAATACCACACGAAAAAGCCGCAGTCTATCGCTGCATGTCACGAGGCGATGAGTATTAAGAACTTGTGCTGTAATTGTATAAACTATTTTCGTTATTCCTGGACGTTATTTCCCTCGAAAACGGTCAGGTACGAGAGTACATCGTTCTAGTTAATATCGGCGGTTGGCACATTGGACCGTTAGGTGTGTAAACATCTTTTCAGTGTTATGATTTTTTTTTTTTTTTTTTTTGACGGTTAAAATATTATTCTTCTTAGGGGCGGTATATTTTAATTTTTCTCCGGGGCGGTAACATAGCATGACGCGGCACTGTATGGTGTACGTACGCGCAAACACGTCTCCCTCGTGACAGGTGAACGACGGTAGCAGCCATTGGATTAGAAAATATCGAGTGGGTTACCCGTGTTTTAATTGGGAACTGATAAAAGGGTTTCCGGTCGACGGCTATCCGAGTGTCGTTCGGCGGCGACGGCACCGTTGGAGTGGTCTGCGGATTTCTCGTCTTCCGCCGCATTTAATTATTATTCGTTAGCAAAGGGTTCGCCATCGCCGCCACCGCCGATGGGTTATTCTCCTCTTCCATCCCCCTCTAACAACCCTCTCTCTCTTTTTCTCTCCGCCGTGTCGTGCACAGTGGTTCGACGTTATTGAACACCTCTTGACGAAGTGTGGTCACAGGGCGGTGAACTATTGATGGGCTCGGAAAGTAGAGCGCGGACGACGATGGGATGTGAAATATCATTCATACTACGCATATACATAAAATGGGTACGTGTGTACATTCGTCTGAAGTTGTGAAACCATCGAACCGTATACGCACAACGTACCGTGTGTTTTCGAGGTGTATTAAAAAAAAAAAAAAAAAAACGGTTCATTAATTAAATGTCACCGTCGATAATAAATATGTTCGACATTACTTATGATTATTTCTTTAGTCGAGGGTTTGTTTGTTTATTATTTTTTTTTTTTTTTAACAGATACTCCGTCCAAAATAATACATTTATGTTTATTTCTCATCACTATTTTTTTAAGTTTGAAATGTCGAAGGAAAAAAAATGTTCTATATACATTTGAAAAAACATTCACTAAATACAAACGTTAATTTAAGTCAATATTGGTTAATGATGTTTATATAAAATTCAAAAGTTTATATTTCATAATTAAAAAATCAATATTGCTCATGTTCAATTATTTATAACTCTAAGTTTTTTTTTTTTAAATCAATCGATTTTTATCTTCATTAGACTGAGATCCATAAGTTAGAAATTCAGTAACA